ATCTGCTCGCAATCCACCGCCACGGGATTAACTCCGCCACCGCCGCCGCCACCAGCACCAGCGCCGCTCCGACCCACATCCTCATCATCATCATCATCATCATCATCATCCTCCTTCCCCCCCCGCGGATTTACACTAAACCACAGATTTGTCCCAGTTTTATACAAAAAATGTCCCGATTTTTTACCAATTTGATCCTCGAAAACAGTAAAAAGAGACACGAAGGGTCAGAAAAGCTGCTTAAAAACGACCAAAACACAAAGAAAATGTGACCAAACTATAAAATGATCCAAAAATTCACTTTAGATTCACTCTAGAAACGATCATCTACGACTCGTAACACGACAGAGATCTGGTTTCAGTCCTGGTTTAGTCTGGTTCAGTCTGGTTTAGTTCTGGTTTAGTCTGGTTTAGTCCTGTTAGTTTAGTCCTGGTTTAGTCCTGGTTCAGTCCTGGTTCAGTTTAGTCCTGGTTCAGTCCTGGTTCAGTCCTGGTTTAGTCCTGGTTCAGTCCTGGTTTAGTCCTGGTTTAGTCCTGGTCAGTCCTGGTTTAGTCCTGGTTTAGTCCTGGTTTTAGTCTGGTCTGGTCCTGGTTAGTCCTGGTTCAGTCCTGGTTTAGTCCTGGTTCAGTCCTGGTTTAGTCCTGGTTAGTCCTGGTTCAGTCCTGGTTTTCTTTAGTCCTGGTTCAGTTCCTGGTTCAGTCCTGGTTCAGTCCTGGTTTAGTACTGGTTTAGTCCTGTTTCAGTCCTGGTTTAGTCCTGGTTTATTCCTGGTTTAGTCCTGGTTTAGTCCTGGTTTAGTCCTGGTTTAGTCCTGTTCAGTCCTGGTTTAGTCCTGGTTTAGCACTAGTCTGGTCCTGGTTTAGTCCTGGTTTAGTCCTGGTTTAGTCCTGGTTTGGTCCTGGTTTAGTCCTGGTTTAGTCCTGGTTTGGTCCTGGTTTGGTCCTGGTTTAGTCCTGGTTTAGTCCTGGTTTAGTCCTGGTTTAGTCCTGGTTTTAGTCCTGGTTTGGTCCTGGTTTTTGGTCCTCCTGGTTTAGTCCTGGTTTAGTCCTGGTTTAGTCCTGGTTCAGTCCTGGTTTAGTCCTGGTTTAGTCCTGGTTTAGTCCTGGTTTAGTCCTGGTTTAGTCCTGGTTTAGGTTCTTGTCTGTTTTCATTTGGCGACATAAAAATATTTTCATTTGACCAAAATTAAACTGGTCCAGTCTTGAATTCAGTCACAGCCGACTGTGATTTGTCTCAGTTTTATCCAGGAAATGTTCCAGAGTGTCTTTATTTCTGACCAGTCTGATCCTGTCAACAGTAAAAACGACCAGAACACAAAGAACATGTGACTAAAATCAAGTGCTTCACAACTTTCCTTATTTATGCAGCTGTTTTACGATCTCATTATGACCAACCACCACAAAAACACTGATTTATCCCAGTTTTATCCAAGAAATGTCCCTGGTGTCTCTATTTTTGACCAAATTGATACAATAAAGTCTCATTTGTTGAGTTAAAACACAAAAAATCTGCTTAAAAACGACCAAAACAAAGAAAACGACAGTGACACACGTCAGACAAACCACCAATAAACATAGATTTGTCCCAGTTTTATCCAAGAAATGTCCCTGGTGTCTCTATTTTTGACCAATTTGATCCTATAAACTGTGATTTGTTGAAGTAAAACACAGAACAGCTGAGTAAAAACGACCACAACACAAAGAACATGTGACTGTCCCGACTCCTGTCATCAACGGTTTCTGCTTCACAATATCCAGAATAATGCAGCTTTCACATCGTTACTATTACAAACCACCACAAAACCACTGATGTATCACAGTTTTACACATGAAATGTCCCTGGTGTCTCGGTTTTTGACCAGTTTGATGCATAAACTGTGATAAAACAAAGAACAGCTGCTTAGAAACGACCAAAACACAAAGAAAACGACACTGACACGTTCATCATCAGTTCTGCTTCTTCACTCACACGTTTTACTATTTTATTACTACAAACCTCCAAAAAAAACTGATTTATCCCAGTTTTATACAAGAAATGTTCCTATTTTTAACCAATCTGATCCCAGCCAACAGTAAATAGAAACATAAATTGTTGAGAAAAGCTGCTTAAAATGACCAAAAGAAAATGTGACAAATGTGATACACTGACACGTTCGTTATCAATTCTCCAGATTTACTTCTTTCATTATTTTATTACTACCAGCCACCAAAAAACTAGTGACGTGTGCCGGTTTTATCCAAGAAATGTCCCTGTTTTTACAGATGCCATCAGTAAACAGATGCATTTTCTTTGTGTTTTTTCTTGTTTTTAAGCAGCTTTTCTATATTTTTCCTCAACAAATGACAAGTCATAGTATCAAATTAGTCCAAAATAGAGACACTTGGAACATTTCTTGTATAAAATTGAGACAAATCACAGGTTTTTTGGTGGTTTGTAATAGTAAAATAGTGAAACGAGTAATTAAGGAAAATTGTGATGTGCTCGGTCCATTCATGATTGACGTGTGTCAGTATATTCACATTTTCTTTATGTTTTGGTCAGTTTTAAGCAGCTTTTCCATATTTTACCTCAACAAATGACACTGTGTGAGTCTTTACTGGTTCAGTAAAGACAGACATTGTCATACAGTCTCATTTTTGTAGATAAAACACAGAACAGCTGCTTAGAAACGACCAAAACACAAAGAAAACGACAGTGACACGTTCATCATCAGTTCTGCTTCACTCACACGTTTTACTATTTTATTACTACAAACCTCCAAAAAAAACTGATTTATCCCAGTTTTATACAAGAAATGTTCCTATTTTTAACCAATCTGATACTTGCCATCAGTAAAGAGATGCATTTTCTTTGTGTTTTGGTCGTTTTTAAGCAGCTTTTCTCTATTTTTCCTCAACAAATGACAATTTATAGTGTCCATTTGGTCAAAAATAGAGACACCTGGGACATTTCTTGTGTAAAACTGAGACAAATCACAGGTTTTTTGGCCGTTGGTAGTAATAAAATTGTGAAACAAGTGTGTAATGAAGGAGAATTGACAACTAACGTGTGAAGGTTTTTAAATACGAATGAAAGTAAGAGACACTGTCATAAAGTCTTTTGTGTAGATAAAATACATAAAAGCTGCTTAAAAACGACCAAAACACAAAGAAAATGTGACTGTCCTGACTCATGTCCGTCATGAATGAACCGAGTACAGAACAGTTTTCTTTAATTATACAAACTTATTACCACCAACCACCAGCCTGTGTCCAGTTTTATACAAGAAATGTCCCTGATGTCCACATTTTTGATGAATCTGATGCATAAATTGTGATAAAACACAGAACAGCTGCTTAGAAAAAACCAAAACACAAAGAAAACGACAGAGACTCGTTCATCATCAGTTCTGCTTCACTCACACGTTTTACTATTTATTACTACAAACCTCCAAAAAAAACTGATTTATCCCAGTTTTATACAAAATTCCTATTTTTAACCAATCTGATACTTGCCACAGAAAGAGATATTTTCTTTGTGTTTTGGTGTTTTTAAGCAGCTTTTCTCTATTTTTTCCTCAACAAATGACAATTATAGTGTCCATTTGGTCAAAAATAGAGACACCTGGGACATTTCTTGTGTAAAACTGAGACAAATCACAGGTTTTTTGGCCGTTGGTATAGTAAAATTGTGAAACAAGTGTGTAATAAGGAGAATTGCTAACGAATGACAGTAAAGAGACACTGTCATAAAGTCTTTTGTGTAGATAAAATACAGAAAAAACTGCTTAAAAACGACCAAACACAAAGAAAATGTGACTGTCCGACTCATGTCCGTCATGAATGAACCGAGTACAGAACAGTTTTCTTTAATTATACAAACTTATTACCACCAACCACCAGCCTGTGTCCAGTTTTATACAAGAAATGTCCCTGATGTCCACATTTTTGATGAATCTGATGCATAAATTGTGATTTGTTGTGATAAAACACAGAACAGCTGCTTAGAAAAAACCAAAACACAAAGAAAACGACAGAGACTCGTTCATCATCAGTTCTGCTTCACTCACACGTTTTACTATTTTATTACTACAAACCTCCAAAAAAAAACTGATTTTATCCCAGTTTTATACAAGAAATTTCCTATTTTTAACCAATCTGATACTGCCATCAGGAAAGAGATGTATTTTCTTTGTGTTTTGGTCGTTTTTAAGCAGCTTTTCTCTATTTTTCCTCAACAAATGACAATTTATAGTGTCCAATTTGTCAAAATAGAGACACCTGGGACATTTCTTGTGTAAAACTGAGACAAATCACAGGTTTTTTGGCCGTTGGTAGTAATAAAATTGTGAAACAAGTGTGTAATGAAGGAGAATTGACAACTAACGAATGACAGTAAAGAGACTCTGTCATAAAGTCTCATTTGTGTAGATAAAATACAGAAAAAGCTGCTTAAAAACGACCAAAACACAAAGAAAATGTGACTGTCCCGACTCATGTCCGTCATGAATGAACCGAGTACAGAACAGTTTTCCTTTAATTATACAAACTTATTACCACCAACCACCAGCCTGTGTCCAGTTTTATACAAGAAATGTCCCTGATGTCCACATTTTTGATGAATCTGATGCATAAATTGTGATTTGTTGTGATAAAACACAGAACAGCTGCTTAGAAAAAACCAAAACACAAAGAAAACGACAGAGACTCGTTCATCATCAGTTCTGCTTCACTCACACGTTTTACTATTTTATTACTACAAACCTCCAAAAAAAAAAACACTGTGATGTGTCAGTTTTTGTATTTGTAAAAGGTTTTTCTCTCGTTTCCTTTGACACGCGCACACAACACCACAACACACGCGCGCGCACACACACACCTGCCCCACACAGACCCCCCCCCCCCCCCCCCCGCGTGTATCTGCCCCCCGCGGAGCTCCTGGTTGTGGGAGATGTCGGTGTTCATGTGTTCATGTGTTCATGTTCTTGTTGGAGATGTTCTTCATGTTTTGGTGTTTGTACCTTCGTGAGCTGCGCGATCTTCTTGCTCATCTTGAGGTGCAGCTCGTGCGTGTACGTGTACTCCAGCGCCGCGCTCCCGTCGTAGAACAAACCCGGAGCCGCGGAGCCCAGACCCGGGGGGGACTGCACGTACTTGCTGCTCGAGGCGGGGGTGCACGAGCCGCTGCTGCCGCCGCCGCCGCCGCCGCCGCCGCTGCTGCTGTACGGGGGCTGCCATCCGGACCCCGACGCCATTTTCACCAAAAACAAACAAACAAACAAACAAACCCCAAAAAGCCCGAGCGCGTGAGTCAGAACGCGTCCATCGTCCTGCTCGCGTGCGCAGAGGAAGAGCAGCAGCAGCAGGAGGAAGAGGAGGAGGAGGAGGAGCGCGAGGGGGGTGAGGGGGGGTGAGGAGGGGGGGGGGGGGTGAGGGAGCGCGCGGCGTGAAACGTAATCGGGAGCGCGCACCCCGGTGAAGTGATGGAGAAGAGGAGAAGAGGCGGGGACGCGCGCCAGATGCTCCGCCGGGGGTTGCCAGGTCAGAGGAGCAGAAACAAGCGGAAAAACACGAGAAAAGACAAATGATTCTGGACAATAAAAAGATCTGGGTTTAGACCTGGTTTAGACCTGGTTTAGTCCTGGTTTAGTCCTGGTTTCCTGGTTTAGTCCTGGTTTAGACCTGGTTTAGTCCTGGTGGTTTAGACCTGGTTTAGTCCTGGTTTAGTCCTGGTTTAGAGTCCTGGTTTCAGTCCTGGTTTAGACCTGGGTTTTAGTCCTGGTTTACCTGGACCTGGTTTAGTCCTGGTTTTAGTCCTGGTTTAGTCCTGGTTTAGAGTCCTGGTTTAGTCCTGGTTTAGTCCTGGTTTAGTCCTGGTTTAGACCTGGTTTAGTCCTGGTCCTGGTTTAGACCTGGTTTAGTCCTGGTTTAGATCTGGTTTTAGTCCTGGTTTAGTCCTGGTTTAGTCCTGGTTTAGTCCTGGTTTAGTCCTGGTTTAGTTTAGTCCTGGTTTAGTTTAGTCCTGGTTTAGACCTGGTTTAGTCCTGGTTTAGACCTGGTTTAGTCCTGGTTTAGTCCTGGTTTAGTCCTGGTTTAGTCCTGGTTTAGTCCTGGTTTAGACCTGGTTACTGGTTTAGTCCTGGTTTAGTCCTTTTAGTCCTGGTTTAGTCCTGGTTTAGTCCTGGTTTAGAGTCCTGGGTCCTGGTTTAGTCCTGGTTTAGACCTGGTTTAGTCCTGGTTTAGACCTGGTTTAGTCCTGGTTTCCTGGTTTAGTCCTGGTTTAGTCCTGGTTTAGTCCTGTTTTAGTCCTGGTTTAGTCCTGTTTTAGTCCTGTTTTAGTCCTGGTCTAGTCCTGGTTTAGTCCTGGTTTAGACCTGGTTTAGTTTTAGTCCTGGTTTAGACCTGGTTTAGTCCTGGTTTAGTCCTGTTTTAGTCCTGTTTTAGTCCTGGTCTAGACCTGGTTTAGTCCTGGTTTAGACCTGGTTCAGTCCTGGTTTAGACCTGGTTTAGACCTGGTTCAGTCCTGGTTTAGACCTGGTTTAGTCCTGGTTTAGTCCTGTTTTAGTCCTGGTCTAGTCCTGGTTTAGTTCTGTTTTAGTCCTGGTTTAGTCCTGGTTTAGACCTGGTTTAGTCCTGGTTTAGACCTGGTTTAGTCCTGGTTTAGTCCTGGTTTAGAGTCCTGGTTTAGACCTGGTTTAGTCCTGGTTTAGTCCTGGTTTAGTTTAGTCCTGGTTTAGTCCTGGTTTAGTCCTGTTTTAGTCCTGGTCTAGTCCTGGTTTAGTCCTGGTTTAGTCCTGGTTTAGTCCTGGTTTAGTCCTGTTTTAGTCCTGGTCTAGTCCTGGTTTAGTCCAGTTTTAGTCCTGGTCTAGTCCTGGTCTAGTCCTGGTTTAGTCCTGTTTTAGTCCTGGTTTAGTCCTGGTTTAGTCCTGGTCTAGTCCTGGTTTAGTTCTGTTTTAGTCCTGGTTTAGTCCTGTTTTAGTCCTGGTTTAGTCCTGGTCTAGTCCTGGTTTAGTCCTGGTTTAGTCCTGTTTTAGTCCTGGTTTAGTCCTGGTTTAGTCCTGGTTTAGTCCTGGTTTAGTCCTGGTTTAGTCCTGTTTTAGTCCTGTTTTAGTCCTGGTCTAGTCCTGTTTTAGTCCTGGTCTAGTCCTGGTTTAGTCCTGTTTTAGACCTGCTTTAGTCCTGATTTAGTCCTGGTTTAGTCCCAGTTTAATCCTAGTTTAGTTCTTGATTTAGTCCTGGTTTAGATCCTTTATTGGTTCCTTAGTCCTGGTTTAAGTCCTAGTCTAAGTGTTATTTAGTCCTGGTTCAGTCCTGGTTTAGTCCTGGTTCAGTCCTGGTTTAGTCCTGGTTTAGTCCTGGTTTAGTCCTGGTTTAGACATGGTTTAGTCCTGGTTCAGACCTGGTTTAGTCCTGGTTTAGTCCTGGTTTAGACATGGTTTAGTCCTGGTTCAGAGTCCTGGTTTAGTCCTGGTTCAGTCCTGGTTTAGTCCTGGTTTCAGTCCTGGTTTAGTCCTGGTTTAGTCCTGGTTTAGACATGGTTTAGTCCTGGTTCAGAGTCCTGGTTTAGTCCTGGTTTAGTCCTGGTTCAGTCCTGGTTTAGTCCTGGTTTAGTCCTGGTTCAGTCCTGGTTCAGACCTGGTTTAGTCCTGGTTTAGTCCTGGTTTAGTCCTGGTTTAGTCCTGGTTTAGTCCTGGTTTAGTCCTGGTTTAGTCCTGGTGTGTTTGTGTTTTTCTTTCATTGATGTTTGATCTGGGGGTTGCCAGGTCAGAGCCGCAGTTTCACGCAGAAATAATCGAGTAACAGGCGAGAAATCGATGAGACACACAAGGAGAAGGACGGAGACAAGCAGAGACACAGAGACACAGAGACACAGAGACACAGAGACACAGACACAGAGACACAGACACAGAGACACAGAGACACACAGAGACACAGACACAGAGACACAGACACAGACAGAGACACAGAGACACAGACACAGACACAGAGACACAGACACACAGAGACACAGACACACAGAGACACAGAGACACAGAGACACAGACACAGACACAGAGACACAGACACAGAGACACAGAGACACAGAGACACAGAGACACAGACACAGAGACACAGAGACAGACACACAGACACAGAGACACAGACACAGAGACACAGAGACACAGAGACACAGAGACAGAGACACAGAGACACAGAGACAGAGACAGACACAGAGACACAGAGACAGAGACACAGAGACACAGACACAGAGACAGACACAGAGACACAGAGACACAGAGACAGAGACACAGAGACACAGAGACACAGAGACACAGAGACACAGACACAGAGACACAGAGACACAGAGAGACACAGAGACACAGAGACACAGAGACACAGAGACACAGAGACACAGAGACACAGAGACACAGACACAGAGACACAGAGACACAGAGAGACACAGAGACACAGACAGAGACACAGACACAGAGACAGAGACACAGAGAGACAGAGACACAGAGACACAGAGACACAGACACAGAGACACAGAGACACACAGAGACACAGAGACACAGACACAGAGAGACACAGAGACACAGAGACACAGAGACACAGAGACACAGAGACACAGACACAGAGACACAGAGACACAGACACAGAGAGAGACACAGAGACACAGAGACACACAGAGAGACAGAGACACAGAGACACAGAGACACAGAGACACAGACACAGAGACACAGAGAGACACAGAGAGACAGAGACACAGAGAGACAGAGACACAGACACAGAGAGACACAGAGAGACACAGAGAGACACAGAGACACAGAGACACGGAGACACAGAGACAAAGAGACAGAGACACAGAGAGACACAGACACAGAGACACAGAGACACACAGACACAGAGAGACAGACACAGACACAGACACAGAGACACAGACACAGACAGAGACAGAGACACAGAGACACAGAGACACAGAGACACAGAGACACAGACACAGAGACACAGAGACACAGAGAGACACAGAGACACAGACACAGACAGAGACACAGACAGAGACACAGAGACACAGAGAGACACAGAGAGACACAGAGACACAGAGACACAGACACAGACACAGAGACACAGAGACAGAGACACAGAGAGACACAGAGACACAGAGAGACACAGAGACACAGACACAGAGACACACGGAGACACAGAGAGACACACAGAGACACAGAGACACAGACAGACACAGACACAGAGACACAGAGAGACAGACACAGAGAGACAGAGACACAGACACAGAGAGACAAGGAGACACAGAGACACAGAGAGACACAGAGAGACACACACAGAGACACAGAGACAGACACAGAGACACAGAGACACAGAGACACAGAGACACAGAGACACAGAGACACAGAGAGACAGAGACACAGAGAGACACAGAGACACAGACACAGAGACACAGAGACACAGAGACACAGACAGAGACACAGAGAGACACAGAGAGACACAGAGAGACACAGAGACAGAGACACAGACACAGAGAGACAGAGACACAGAGAGACAGAGACACAGAGACACAGACACAGAGACAGAGACACAGAGACAGAGAGACAGACACAGAGAGACACAGAGACAGAGAGACAGAGACACAGAGACACAGAGAGACACAGACACAGAGACACAGAGAGACAGAGACACAGAGAGACAGAGACAGACACAGAGAGACAGAGACAGAGACAGAGAGACAGAGACACAGAGAGACACAGACACAGAGAGACAAAGACACAGAGACAAAGACACAGAGAGACAGAGACACAGAGACACAGAGAGAGAGACAGACACAGAGAGACAGAGACAGACAGAGAGACAGACACAGAGACACAGAGAGACAGAGACACAGAGACACAGAGAGACACAGACAGAAGGACACAGAGACACAGAGACACAGACACAGAGACAGACAGAGAGAGACAGACACAGAGACACAGAGACACAGAGACACAGAGACACAGACACAGACACAGACACAGACACAGACAGAGACACAGTTTAACCCAAACACCTGCGACACGTCTGGATTTTCATCACTGTTTCTGTTTCTGTCAACACATGAATCATTTAAAATAAAATCATTTATAACCGAGTTCTTGAATGAAACGTCTCCAGTTTGGGTTCGAACATCAGATTTTTCTCCTCAAAAACTGATTTGATTTAACCTCAGACACTTCACATGTGACAGAATGAAAAGAAATGTGATGAGACCCGTTCACGCAGCAGGATTTAGTCCTGTTAAATCCTGTTTTACACCTGGTTTTAGTCCTGGTTTAGACCTGCTTCAGTTCTGTTTTAGTCCTGCTTTAGTCCTGTTTTAGTCCTCATTTAGTCCTGTTTTAGTCCTCATTTAGTCCTGTTTTAGTCCTGATTTAGTCCTGTTTTAGTCCTGCTTTAGTCCTGTTTTAGTCCTGCTTTAGTCCTGTTTTTAGTCCTGGTTTAGTCCTGTTTTTGGTTTACTGTTTAGTCCTGGTTTAGTTTTAGTCCTGTTTTAGTCCTGGTTTAGTCCTCTTTTTAGTCCTGTTTTAGTCCTCATTTAGTCCTGCTTTAGTCCTGTTTTAGTCCTTTTTTCCTGCTTTTAGTCCTGTTTTAGTCCTCATTTAGTCCTGTTTTAGTCCTGGTTTTAGTCCCTAGTCCTTTAGTCCTGCTTTAGTCCTGGTTTAGTCCTGTTTAGTCCTGGTTTAGTCCTGTTTTAGTCCTGTTTTTACCTCTGCTTTAGTCCTGTTTTAGTCCTCATTTAGTCCTGGTTTAGTCCTCATTTAGTCCTGCTTTAGTCCTGCTTTAGTCCTCATTTAGTCCTGTTTTAGTCCTGCTTTAGTCCTGGTTTAGTCCTGTTTTAGTCCTGGTTTAGTCCTCATTTAGTCCTGCTTTAGTCCTGTTTTAGTCCTGGTTCAGATCCTTTACTGATTTGATACTAAACAGTTTTAATTTTATTTACGTCACCTTTCTGTTCTGAGCGCGTTCGTGCTCGTTACGTAAATCCACAGGTAACGTACGTGTGCGTAACGGACACAATGAGTTACGTAATGTCATTCAGAAAACACGAGGCTCTGTTGGACTCGGGTTTTTCTGATAAAATTACACAAACCTGCTTCTGTCATAAATAAAAATGTGTCTGTTCGTTTGAGTCCGGATCAGAGCTGTGGAGCGGCGCGCCAACTCAACACTGACCTCATCCTTTTGACGTCATTCATAAATATTGAACACTGTTGGTCACGTGTAATACTCACACGTGACCACAAGAGGGCGCCATTTACCAACACAAACACCGAGACTAAACCAGGACTAAACCAGGACTATAACAGGACTAAACCAGGACTATAACAGGACTAAACCAGGACTAAACAGGACTAAACCAGGTCTAAACCAGGACTAAACCCGGACTAAAACAGGTGTAAACCAGGACTATAACAGGTCTAAACCAGGACTAAACCAGAACTAAACCAGGAATGAACCAGGTCTAAAACAATAAAACCAATAAAATAAAAATAAAAAAATAAAATAATAAATATATATATATATATATATATATATATATATATATATATATATATAATATATATATATATATATATATAATATATATAAAATAAAAAGCAGTAATTACTTAAAAAAAAAAAAAAAAAACAGACATAGAGATTTAATATTTTTTTATTAGGGCTGGTTTCATTAAGATTTTGCCGATACGATACAAACCTTTTTACATCGACCACGATACGATACATATCTCGATATGATATTTTTTTTTTTTAAAAGCAACAAAACTGTAGCTGTAACAGAATAAACAAAATAAAAAATAAAATAAACCAAAAATGTGATATTTTGATATTTTTGCACACCCCTGCTTTTTAAACATTATGAATGAAATTAACGTTGTGCAAAAATATTGAAGCATCGATATATCGTGTCATTTTATGTGATGCTACAGTATCGATATTGTGAGCTGCTGTATCGATAAATCGCCAAGAGTATTTTTTGACTAAATTATTTTGTTCACATTTGACATTTTCACTGTTTTGTTGATTAAAATGTTTGCGTTTTGTATGAACTTTGCACAAGAAGAAGTGATTTAACATCGAATCGATTTGAAATATGTCATATTGTATCGTATCGAATCGAAAGTGCACCGTATCGAGGTGTGTGTCATATCTGCAACTTGAATAATACTGAATGAAATAAACAAATAAAAAAATAAAATAAAATAAAAATAATAAACTTCGCTCCGGGTCTCCACAGTCGCGGGGGGAGGAGGGGGGGTTGGAGAGAGAGGAGCCCGTGCGTAAATGCGCGCGCTCTCCATCTCTCCATCCTGTTTCCCTCCATCCTCCTCGCGCTGCACACCTCCGTCCTTCTCCACTCGCTCCTCGTCGCGTCTCTCCGTCGCCTGTCTCGTCGCCTGTCCTCGTCGCTGTCTCTCGTCGCGTGTCTTCGTCGCGTGTCCTCGTCGCGTGTCCTCGTCGCGTGTCCTCGTCGCTCCGTCGCCGTCGTGGAGTCGCGCGTGTCTCGGCTGGGCGCCCTCCTGCAGGGTCTGGGGGGGTCCGCGCCCGGCGCCACGTCCCGGTTCCTGCCCGGGTTCGTCAGCACCGCGGAGAATCATGGGTCGGAGCGGCGGGAGCGGCGCGGGTCCACCAGGTCACGGATGCCGGTCATGCGCGGACTCATCGCGCCGCAGAACACCTTCCTGGACACGATCGCCACGCGCTTCGACGGGACCCGTGAGTGAACCGGACCAGGACTAAACCAGGACTAAACCGGGACTAAATACGTGTCTAAACCAGGACTAAACTAAAGACTAAACCAGGACTAAACTAAAGACTAAACCAAGACTAAAAGGACTAAACCAAGACTAAACCAGGACTAACCAGGACTAACCAGGACTAAACCAGGACTAAACCAGGACTAAACCAGGACTAAACTAAAGACTAAACCAGGACTAAACCAGGACTAAACCGGGACTAAACCAGGACTAAACTAAAGACTAAACCAGACTAAACCAGGACTAAACCAGAACTAAACCAGGACTAAACCAAAAGGACTAAACCAGGACTAAACCAGGACTAAACTAAAGGACTAAACCAGGACTGACTGAACCAGGACTAAACCGGACTAAACCAGGACTAAACCAAGACTAAACCAGGACTGAACCAGGACTAAACCAGGACTAAACTAAAGACTAAACCAGGACTAAACCAGGACTGGGACTAACCCAGGACTAAACAGGACTAAACTAAAGGACTAAACCGGGACTAAACCGGACTAAACTAAACAAGACTAAACCAGGACTAAACCAGAACTAAACCAGGTCTAAACCAGGACTAAATCAGGTCTTTCTCTTTTTAACTGAATCCTTTTCATTTTTTTGAATCAGTTTTTTGTTCTACATTTGTTGAATCTCTGTGTGTTTTATTTTTGTTTGTTTGGTGTTTTTTTGTGAATGAACAGTTTTACTCGTGTGGAATTACAAATCTGTTTCTAAAATCCTCAGTCAGGTTTTTATCTTTAAACTCACTATTTTCTGATCCTTGTTTTAATTTCTCAACAACAAAAACAAAACAAGAGTCAGATTTGTTAAATATAGGAACATTTATCGTTTATTTTTACATTTTTTATTTATTTATTCATGTGTAAACTTTTGATCACGAGACCAAAACGATAAAAATCAGGTTTATTTATCAGGTTTATTTTCTTTGTGACTTTGTGTCCGCGTCGTCGGGGATGAAGTCGCCTTTTAACCCCGAACTGCACACGCGGCGTTTGCTTCTTATCTGGCAACCGTCCGCGCTTAATTACACTTTCCAAATTTAAATCCATTACGGCGATAACGATCTGATCATTCTGCTGATTCCTGATTCACTGATTCTCTGATTCTACTGCTACTGATTCTCTGATTCTCTGATTCTACTGATTCTACTGATCTACTGATTCTACTGATTCTACTGATTCTGCTGATTCTGCTGATTCTGCTGATTCTACTGATTCTACTGATTCTACTGATTCTACTGATTCTACTGATTCTACTGATTCTACTCGCAATTAACACCACGAGACCAAAGAAACCAGACCAACCAGACAGAGACCAGACCAGAGACAGACCAGACCAGAGACAGAGACCAGACTAGACCAGGGACCAGAGACCAGAGACCAGAGACCAGAGACCAGACCAGGGACCAGAGACCAGAGACCAGACCAGAGACCAGACCAGACCAGAGACCAGACCAGAGACCAGACAGAGACCAGAGACCAAGACCAGACCAGACCAAAGACAGACCAGAGTCCAGAGACCAGAGACCAGACCAGAGACCAGAGACAAAGACCAGAAAGACCAGAGACCAGAGACCAGAGACCAGAGACCAGAGACCAGAGACCAGAGACCAGAGACCAGAGACAGAGACCAAAGACCAAGACCAGAGACCAAGACCAAGACCAAGACCAAAGACCAGAGACCAAAGACAGAGACCAGAGACCAAAGACCAAAGACCAGAGACCAGAGACCAGAGACAAAGACCAGAGACCAGAGACCAGAGACCAAAGACCAGAGACCAGACAGACCAGACCAGACAGACCAGAGACAGAGACCAGACCAGAGACCAAAGACCAGAGACCAAAGACCAGAGACCAGAGACCAGAGACCAGAGACCAGAGACCAGACCAGACCAGACCAGAGACCAGAGACCAGAGACCAGAGAGACCAAAGACAGACCAGAGACCAAGACCAGAGACCAAGAGACCAAGAGACCAAGAGACCAAAGACCAGAGACCAGACCAGACCAAGACCAAGACCAGACCAAAGACAGAGAGACAAAGACCAGAGACCAGAGACCAGACCAAAGACCAAGACCACAGAGACCAGAGACCAGAGACCAGAGACCAAAGACCAAAGACCAGAGACCAAAGACCAAAGACCAGAGACCAGAGACCAGAGACCAAAGACCAGAGACCAAAGACCAGAGACCAGAGACCAAAGACCAAAGACCAAAGACCAAAGACCAAGACCAAAGACCAAGACCAGAGACCAGACCAGAGACCAGAGACCAGAGACCAAGAGACCAGAGACCAAGACCAAAGACCAGAGACCAGAGACCAGAGACCAAGACCAGACCAGAGACCAGAGACCAAAGACCAGACCAGACCAGACCAAAGACCAAAGACAAAGACAAAGACCAAAGACCAGAGACCAGACCAGAGACCAGAGACCAGAGACCAGAGACCAGAGACCAGAGACCAGAGACCAGACCAGACCAGACCAGAGACCAGAGACCAGAGACCAGACAGAGACCAGACCAGAGACCAGAGACCAGAGACCAGAGACCAGAAGACCAAGACCAGAGATCAGAGACCAAAGACCAGAGACCAGACCAGAGACCAGAGACCAGAAGACCAGAGACCAGACCAGAGACCAGAGACCAAAGACAGAGACCAAAGACCAGACCAGACCAGACCAGACCAGACCAGAGACCAGACCAGAGACCAGAGACCAGACCAGAGACCAGAGACCAGAGACCAGAGACCAGACCAGAGACCAGAGACCAGAGACCAGAGACCAGACCAGTGGGACCGGATTTAATGAACCGGACTCATGTTCTCAAAGTGTAATCCTGGTTTAGTCCGGCTTTAAAGTTGCACTGCGGAGCTTTTCTTGCTGCTCTGACTGGAGGCAGCAGATGTGGATGTGTTGTTCTGGTGAAGGACACAGACTCTCCTCAGTTTTACATTTCAATGACAATTTAAAGCTCGAGGGATTAAACTCAGACTCTGCAGGAATCAATACAGTCCTGTTTAGACCTGGTTTAGACCTGGTTTAGTCCTGGTTTAGTCCTGGTTTAGACCTGGTTTAGTCTTGGTTCTACACCAGTACTAAACCCAGAATAAACCAGGACTAAACCAGAAGTAAACCAGGTCTAAACCAGGTCTACTCTAGAACTAAACAAGGACTATTCCTGCAATAAAACAGGAATATTCCAGGACTAAACCAGGACTAAACCAGGACTAAACCAAGACTAAACAAGGACGAAACACAGATTACTCCAGGACTAAACCAGGACTAAATTAAGACTTAAAACCAGGACGAAACCAAGTCTAAACAAATTTTAAACATAACTAAACTTGAATTAAACCAGGACTAAATCAGGACTAAACCAGAACTAAACTAAGACTAAAAAAGACTTAAAACCAGGACAAAACCAAGTCTAAACAAATATTTAAACATAACTAAACCTGAATTAAACCAAGACTAAACCAGGACTAAAATAGGACTAAATCAAGGACTAAAAAGTGACATTTTAAGTAATGAATAATTGGATAAAAATACTGAAATTCTCTCTCATTTTTTCTTTGTATCAGGTGTTTTACTGCAGTCGAATGTTTGTGATTGACAGAATATGAACACAACACACACACACACACACACATACACACACCACACACATACACACACAACACACACACACACACACACACACACACACATAACACACAACACACACACAACACAACCCACACACACACACACACACACACACACACACACAACCACACACACACACACACACACACACACACACACACACACACACACACACACACACACACACACACACACACACACACACACACACACACACACACACACATACACACACACACACACACACACACACACACACACACACACACACACACACACACACACACACACACACACACACACACACACACACACACACAACACACACACACACACACACACACACACATACACACACACACACACACACACACACACACACATAACACACACACACACATCCTCTGTGGACGTGTGTGATGTTCTCGACTCGTGTTTTCAGTTTGTGGAGGAGAAATTTAAACGACTTGGGAACCTGGTTTAGAAACCACCTGGAGACCTGGTTTACCTGAGTCCTGGTTTAGCCTTGGTTTAGAAGTTTACCAGTCCTGGGAGTTTAGACCTGGTTTAGACCTGGTTTAGACCTGGTTTAGTCCTGGTTTAGTCCTGGTTTAGACCTGGTTTAGACCTGGTTTACCTGGTTAGACCTGGTTTAGACCTGGTTTAGACCTGGTTTACCTGGTTTAGACCTGGTTTAGACCGTATTCAGAAAAACTAAACCAGTGCTGAACAAAATTTAAGCAGAAAAAAAAAAGGACTACAAAACCTAGACTAAACCAGACTGAACTAAAATTTAAAAGGGACTAAACCAGAGAAAAGGAAAAAGGACCTAGACTAAAAACTAGACTAAACCAGAACTAAACCAGGATTAACAGGGACTAAACCAGGACTATTAAACCTAGACTAAACCTAGACTAAACCAGGACTAAACCAGGACTAAATAAAGGCTAAACCAGGACTAAACCAGATCTAAACCAGGACTAAAACAGGACTAAAACAGGGACTGAACCAAACAGGAATAAAGCAAGACTGAACCAGGGACTAAAGCAAGTCTAAATCAAGGTCTAAACCAGGTCTAAACCAGGTCTAAACCCTGACTGAACCAGGACTGAACTCTGATTAAACCAGGTCTAAACCAGGACTAAACCAGGGTCTAAACCAGGTCTAAACCGGGTCTAAAGCAGGACTAAACAAGGACTAAACAAAGTCTAAACCAGGACTAATCAAAGACTAAAACAGGACTATTAAACCTAGACTAAATCAGGATTAAATAAAGGCTAAACCAGGACTAAACCAGGACTAAACCAGGAC